TACAAACCCTATAAAGAAAAAATGTAAGCTAAAAAACAAAAGAAAAAAATATAATAAAATAAAATTAGAAACTGCTACTTATCATAATAACAAGTTCAATTCTCCATCCGGTTCCGATCTCCATTTCACAGGGCCACTTTTAAAAATTTTGTCAAATTCAAACAAGAATTGATTAGTATTGTAAGAAAAAAAAAAACTCTGTGATATATAGTGATTTACTGTAAAAAATTATGGTTTACGTACTTACGAACTATAAGTGATTTAGATATGGATATGTTAGTTTCGTATTGAAATGAAAGTGGAGAAAATCTGCCATATACAAGACCCGGGTCTAATTCATTTTGTATACCCCAGGTCTAATTCATTTTGTATACCCGGATCTCTTACATTTTATCAAAGCTTTATTCCATGTTGTAGACCCGGGTATAGTACTGTACATAGGGGATCTGATATCTGGGGGTCTTGTATACGGCAGTTTATGGTAGTTCTTGTAACCCTTACAGATCTTTCGCATGACGTTAATTCACGCTTCCGAAATAAACCAAAGGAGTCCAGAATCCTAATATCGTCTAAGTTATGATCTCGTTCGATGTTTCAAGGAAATCAGAAACTAATAGTATAAAAAAAAAAAAATTTTTTTTAAAAAAAAGAAATGGTACTTATATACCAGTCCTTAGTTTCACTCAAACCGTGTCAATTTCACAATCTCCACAAAAAAACTTGGCGAAAGAATAAAAAGAAACCAATACTTATTTATATAAACCCCGATCTTGATTTCACCTAACTTATGGATGTTTACCCGGTGTTTAATTTACGATTATTATACAAGCAACCGTATAAAGATAAAGAACAAAATGCGCAGAGAAAAAAAATTACTTATCATTATAAGGACCGATGCAAGGACCGGTCCTTGCATCGGTCCCGGTCCGGGACCAGTCCTTGGCGGGACCGATGCAACCCTAGCTATGTAGATATAAAGACTATTGTCAAAATCATAGTATAACTTTAAAAAAAGGGAATAGTGACAAAACTTTGATGCACGTATGATAAAATCTTTAACCAGATTTAAAAAATCGATATGTTACGAAAAATCAATTGATAAAATCCTACATAAATCATAAAAACAAAAAAAATAAAATAAAATAAAAAAATATAAAAAATAATAAAAAAATAATAAAAAAAATAAAAAAATAATAAAAAAATAAAAACAATTAATACTGGTCATTTGCAGAAAATTGACATTAAGAGAAAATTCTCCAATAAATTCTTTATTTGAAATGACGGCCTGTTGAATATCCACTTGATATTGTAATGTGGCAGCTTGAGAACGAAAGATTATTATTTTCTTGGATAAGAAAACTGAGATCGAAGATTATTATTTTCCCGAATAACGAAAGAATGTTGCAATTTCAACTCAGCAATTTGATATTCCAAAAAGGCAATCTGAAGAGGGTTCGGTTGATGTTCTGTGGGTTCAGAAGGTCCAGTACGAAAATTGTGGGTGTCAGGTGCAGATTGATTATTAAAGGAAATGTTACTAGAAAACTTAGAAACCTTTGACTGTCGTTGAGCCATAGTTACAATCAATAGATTTAGATCTGCTATATTTATCAAAAACTTGTGCACAAAAACCACTAATTGGAAGGTCGAGTACCAAAAAAAGAAAAACTATGTCCAAAAAATGCTAGAAGAATTAGACTGGAGGCCTTATCCATGGGAAAATTTACGGATATTCATATGTAGATTTTATGAACGAACTATTAATTTGTTAATCATTAAATGATCCAATCCGAATAGCTTTTTTCTCATTCGTTAACAAATCTTCCGCTAAAAAGAGCAGGGAGTTTTGGTAACAATAGTAGGATAATATTATTGTAGAGAAATATAAAAGTAGAATTTGAACTGGGTTTAGGATAATATTATAAACTCAATCGCGAATTTGTAAAATTTGATAAAAACCCATGAACTGTAGCTCTGGTCAAATTTGTAGATCATTTGGCCAGGCTTGAAATTATTTGACTTCAAAGCTGGCCAAATGATCGGCAAATTTGACCAGAATTACAGCTCTTGAGTTTTTAATTTATAAAATTCCACAAATCAGCTGATATGCCAAATTATCTTCGCTCAAATTTTGACATAGCTTATTTTGATGGATTTTTTTTTAAAACTGACTAAGGGTGTGCTCAAGCATCTCATAAATTAATTAAATAATGATCTCAAGCATCGACGACATTTATAGAATTAAATAACACTCTTTTAAAAAAACCTAATAGGAGTTTCAAAGTTAAAACACGAAAATCTAATTTTAATTGAAATTGTTGACATATTTATTTTGAAATAAGTGATCCGGTAATCTGATCTTTCTTCAATTTGAACGGTTTATTTATTTTTTTTTATAAAGTATTATAAAAATTTTCTGATTTCATGAAATGGGGATCTCCAAACACTCCCATTTCATTTTCCGATTTTAAGATTTTGTAAAACAAATAAGATTTTTCATTTATTGCAAAATGTGTGACCTCTGCAGATCATGATGTCATGTAAAATCAGCCGATTCTAGTGGATTTTTCGAATTTTGAAGATTTTGGATAAAATATAGACGTTATTGATTGAAAACTATGATCAATAGGGAATTAAAATCTCGGAAATTTTTCTGCCGTCATCACCGTGAAATCACAGGGTCACACTTTTTTGCAAAGCGCAATAATTCTCCTGCATCTAGTAGTGTCGAA